AAAAAAAAAAAAAAAAAAAAAAAAAAATGCTCTCTCTAATTTTAGTTATTGGTTGTTGCTCCCAGGACTAGTTAGATGCTTGTATCTAGACTGTCTGCTAGTCTATTATAATAGTGGTCTTCAGTTGGGTGTCGGGGTGGTTGTAGGGGATTCTCTGGCCCCTGGTGGTTGTGTTGGGTTGGGGTAAACCAGTCTTTCAAGGTTAATCTATTTCGTGTTATCGAGCTTAGTTTCCCCCCTCCCAGTTTTGATGTTATAATTTTTTTAATAACCACAGTCTTATTAGCTGGGGTGTTTTGGATTTGGGTCAGTGTTTTTTTCCAGTGGGCGTCGATTTCCGTCTCGATTAGCTGTTTAATAAGGGTGAGGGGATTTTTTTGGGGTGGTAGGGAGGTCTTCAAAGGTTAGGACGCATCTTCTTCTCCAAATCGCCCAAAGAGTTGCTTTTCTAATTAGAGAGAAGAAAAGAAGAAGTAGTCGAACCCCTTGAAAGGCGGTGTTTGTTTTGGATTTGGGTCAGTGTTTTTTTTCCATTGGGCGTGGATTTCTGTCTCGATTAGCTGTTTAATGAGGGTGAAGGGATTTTCTGGGGTGGTAGGGAGGTCTTCAAAGGTTAGGACACATCTTCTTCTCCAAATCGCCCAAAGAGTTGCTTTTCTAATTAGAGAGAAGAAGAAGTAGTCGAACCCCTTGAAGAGGGTGCCAGGGCTGATTTGTACTATTTCACTGGAGAGCTTGCTCCACAAATGTTCTACTTCCTTCCATAGTATTTGGGCTTTCTCGCATTCCAGGAAACAGTGATTGAGTGTTTCTATGGTTTGGTTGGGAGTTGCAAACTTTACACCATAATAATTCCTGCTCTGATCTGTCTTCCTTCCTTCTTCTTTGCGCTAAACAATGGTTCACTGGGACTGCTCTATAGGTTATGAGCCAGAGCAGGCTGGCTAATTTGGCTGGTCTAGTGCAGAAGATGATTGATGACCAGGAAGGTTGAAAAGGTGTGTTGGCGAGGGAGTTTTCCTGTTTTTGCCATCTTTTAACTTTTAAGTATGATGGCCGCAGTAGGAATAGGTGAGGAGAACTTGTAGCCTACCTTCTTCCCCCGAATACAACGTACGGTCATTAAAGCTGTATGTATTCGGGGCATCTTTCAGTCTAGATACAGCTATAATGACCGTACGTTGTATTCGGGGGAAGAAGGTAGTCTTGGGGTGTATTCGGTTAGTTTGTGTCTACGTATAGTTGGGGAATCTTCGCCCGGGGAGGAGAGCAGGTTAACCGAGCACCCATTTTTCAGGCCCATTTATAAGAAAACCAGACAGTCATTTTAACAACACTTCACACCAATCTATAGAGTGCACTTCTTACGACCCCATCACAGAAAAAAACCCTAAAAAANTTATAAGAAAACCAGACAGTCATTTTAACAACACTTCACACCAATCTATAGAGTGCACTTCTTACGACCCCATCACAGAAAAAAACCCTAAAAAAGCAATTAAAAACATATAAAACAGCAAGCCAAAGGTGCATTTCCATGAAATTTGGCCCAAAAAAAACTCGACCAATTTCAGAAATTTCAGAAATCTTAATGGCGCAAATTCTAAAACTCCAAATAACCCCAAATTTCATATACGGCAACCCTATCAAAATGCATATACAGCAAAAACTTGAAATTCCAAAAAAACATGAAATTTGAGCCCAAAACCCTAATTTCAGAAATTTCAGGCCTGAAAACCAGATGCCCCGTTAACCTCCGACTTCTAGTTGTTGGATGCTCGAGTCGGGCCTAAATACTAAATACCCTATTTCTGTCACCTTCTATTACTCTGATTCTAATCAGGTTGCTTACTTTGCAAGATCCTTCTGCTCTACTTTGGTTGCTCAAGAAAATTGTTGGGGTTGCTTGGTTCTTCTAAAGTGAAGATAATGCAGGTTATCCATTCATTATTGCGTATTTCGCTGCTTTTGATTCTTAGGATTTCTTGTGTGTTTGTTTGGTCCCTTTGGCTAACCCAATCCCCTGCTAGCCACTTTTGGCCTGATCAGCAGTTCAACTTATGTTCTGTTTACTTACCGTGTCTTTTTCCACCGAACACGATGCTCTCTCATCATGACTGTATCTAACCTGACATACAGCTTGTATACATTCACCATCAGGGTGCATTATGTTCGGCCGAAGACCGTTACATGTGTGTACCACCCCTCAGCCACATATGTTTCTTGTTTTCTTTTTAATGCTTGTCATCCTTGTGCAGGGCCCATGCTAATCTTCATTCTCTGTCTCGTTCCAGTTTTTATGGATGCCCCGAAGGACAACTACATGTGTTTTTTTTTTTTTTTTTTTTTTTTCCTCACTGAGAAACCATGTTCTGAAGGAGAACAAGCTTCTAAGTTCTAACAATTCACAACTATTGGCCTACATATGTTCTTTTCCTTTTTTTTTTGGGTGGCTCCTGCAGGCATTTTACCCCTCGAAAGGTCAAGTAGTGGTGACCAACGGGCCTAGCGCAGTTGGTACACCCATGAACTGTTGAAAAATACAGATCTGAGTTCGAATCCAGAAGGAGCTATATTAGTGCGTTAACCACTAGTACCTTTGACGGTTGGGAAAATAGGGAGCCTCGGGTGGGCCTCCGATCTTTTAGGAGGCCGAAACGAGACGTCGGCCGCCAATGAGATTTATCAACGGCGGACGTCGTCGGGCGCAGTCCCCGATCAACCATGACATCTCAAGGCCGTCACGTTCTTTTTCACCGAAAGAAAGAAAGAAAGAAAGAAAGACAGGTCAGCTAGGAAACCTCCAGGATCCACCTGCAGATGTTTTTCCATGGCTAATCACCACTGACCGAGAAAGGTCAATCTGACTCCATCAGGAATCAGTGATATGTGAGCGGACCCCCCATTCGGAAAAAGGGCCTACCGGTAGGGATCAAAAGTACACAGGAGGGGGAGGGGGGGGGGGGGTTTGCGCAGGGAAACAAAGGGGGGGGATGGGATCTGTCTCTTATACACATCTAGATGTGTATAAGAGACAGCCTCCAAGGCCCATTCTATGGAGCGGAACTCTGTTGAGTGCCTTGCATCTGGTGATAGTTGCAGACCAGCTGGATCCTCTTGATCATCATAATGAAACGCAATGCTCTGGAGCTCCGCAGTTTGTCCAGAAGACCTGTCGATTCCCATCCCTCCTCCCCCTTCTCCTCTCCCAGAATGCTGGATGCCAGATGCCAATGTTCTTGCCAGCTGGCGGATAATATAGATAAGAGCTCTAATATTCTCTCTTGGCCTCAGTTGGAGGCTGTGGAGTAGATCGATGCTCCATGCCGATGTCTGACGAGCAGGAGAGCATATTACTGATGACGCCGCCCTTTCTCTGTGTTGCTTCGCATCTCCCAGCACACCGATAGTGACCAAACAACCCAAGACTAGTCCTTCGTAAGCTGAATCTTCTGGCCTCAAGCCTCTGTCCCTGCTTGATTGCGTTAAAGGTCCAAGATTCGTTGCATCTGGACTCCCTTTGTTCCACCTCCTGGCGCTCATGGGCTCCGAGTGGTATGGCTTTGGCCCTGGTCTTGCGCACCCATGCGCAATGTCAACGAGCATACTCAAGGCTTGTACCGCAAAGGACTCTGCAGCCCTTCTCAAGCGATTCTTTCCGTCTTGTTCTCTTTCTTGCGCCATTTTTGCTTCCTCCGAAGTCCCCTTGAGAGTTCCTCCCCCTCCCTTTCCCTTAGTACTACCTCTACTCTCCCATTCAGCTTTGCAGTGGGCACTTCTCCCCACATCTTGGAGGAGTTCTGCGATCTTTGAGAGGTTCTTTTCGGAGCACAGGGATAGAAACGACCTCCAGGAACGGAAACCGCCGCCGAAGTATGCTTGGAGGATTCGCCGCACTACCGACTTGGCGACGTCACTGACATAAGTTTGACAGAAGAAGCACTGCAGCTCCCCTGCAATAGTTTTGCACCTGTCGGCGGCAAAGGTTCTGAGGAATGGCAGAGTGACTTGCTGGGGATTCTGACGATGGATCATCATGGACGCCTGCCCCACCAAGTGAGCTCTGGCTGAGCACAGCAGACGGCCAATCAGTTCTACCGTTTCATCACAGAAGAAGGGAGAGTTGCAAGGCAACGCTAGCAACAAGCGGAACAAGGGAAGCATTTGCAGAAGCATCCATTGGATAAACTCAACGACCTGTAGTAGGTGAAAGTTGGTGGCCGCCTCTTCAGAATGTCCCAAGCAGTTTTCCACAGGCTTGCAGTCCTCTTTTGATGGGGTGGATGGCTCTACTCCTGTTTTTTTGGTCTGCAATGGCATGATCGGAATCATGGAGCGTGTTTCGGATACCATAAGCTCGAAGAGCGACAAAGACTTGATGCGGACTGCCTTTGATTTGTCTTCTAGTCGTTGGATCAAGACATCTAGAAAAGACTTGACCGCTTGATCGTGGGGGCAATCGTCCTCGTTGCACATGCGACCCGGAGATAGCAGAAATTTTCGAAATGTGACTGCAACTCCACAGTCCGTCATCAATGACAGGAGATTGCAGAGCACTCTCAGCCGGACACTCGCATCTCGGTCACACAGCATGAGCTTCAGCACCCTGAGGACAAAACAGACGCCCTCTGCTGCAATGAGAATGCCCTTCAGGGTGCATTGTCGAAGGTATACGAAACTGATGTCCACCATGCACTTGCGAATCGATGGACGATCACACCTCAATGTCCCAATCAATGGACCTGTGTATGCACACACACAACATGCACAGATGCACACATGCACACATGCACACAGCATTTTGTCCTTGCATTTAAAGACTTGAAGTGAGGGAAAGTGAAAACAGAGGGAGGAAAGCGGTAGCAAAATGTGAAATGGGATGCCATTTATTATTCTTAATTTGTTTTCTTTTAACTTTTTGTAGTCTTGCTTTTTTTTTTTTTTTTTTTTTTTTTTTTTTTTTAA